TAGACTGAACGCTTACTTTAAAATCTTAACATCAAAAATCCTTATACTATATACAAAATTGTACACAGACGGTAGCTTACCTGTAAACAATACAAGCGTCCTTTGAGTTCTGACGGAACAGACTGATCTTGCCAAACAACCTCCCTGGCTTCTTATATAGTTATCTCAAGACGCGGCCAAATATGGTCATACGTCATTGTCAGTGGTTGGGTTCCGCCAGAATCTCAGAGTGAGGCTTCGTCGTTTCTTACCGACTATACGGAAGGGAATTTCTTATACTGTAGCTGCAGACTTGTAAATTTGCCAACTGAAGTATTATACAATGCATAGCACCTCACGTAGAGAAACATACTCTTTATTGAAATAGTACACAACTATATTACAATAAAAAAAAATTGTTTTCAAAACAATCTACTAAAATATTCCATCTAACAGAAGTACTGGTCTTTTGGAGATCATCCAAGATCGTCCGCAAAGATGGGAGGAAAGGGTTGTTCGAATGCGGACAAGGGGAGGGGTGTAAAGGACCTTGTGGACGTCTGCAAGATAGTATTTTTGTTTGATATTCTGTTTTGAACAGCTGCTTTAGGCCTACTGCATGTATTCAATTATGTTTTTCAGACATCCTTTATGGATGATCCTTAAGTATAAATTATTTGTTAATTTCATTTTGTACGATTTATGCCACAAATATATATGAATTAACCAAAGAGCAGTTTATAATGCTAGATGGGGACGTACACGACCGGGGAAGGGAGTGAAGGTAAACCATATGTGGACAATGTGGTTGGGGGTAGGAAAACAGGTATTATCTGCCGACGTCCTTTATGGTCAAACCCTTGGTGCAATTGAATCAGAGATCTCCAACCCAGGAAAACAAACCCTGTACTATTAAGTTTAGAAAAGTAGTACAAGTTGACTCAAGCGAAAATACAATTCTTCGGAATATTTTGTGATCATTTAAAATATCATTTGTAGCTGTTTATAAAACAGACAAACCAATCGTTTACTTTCTAGACAATGGTCTGTCAGACGTGTTGCGAGGCCTTTTGTTCTATAAATATTGGTGTATGGCAGCTTGTACAGCACCTGGAAAATTTGTGAGGTCAGATTATGGATGGAATGAACAATAATTTTAGCGGTGGAGTAGGGGCACTTCACCAATTGTAACGAGTCGTCACAAGCTGCAAATTTCTAATATATCAATGAAATTACTTCACAAGTTATTGTATAACAACCGCATTATGTTCTTTCCACAACAAAATTAATACATGTAGTAATATTTACCTGAATACACGTTTATCGAAAGTAATAACTGCAAGAACTGGATACGAGAAATATACCTTGATAATAAAATTAAAAAAAAACATAGTGATATAGACACAGACCCGACTGTTTGTCTGTGCGAAGTGGACAATGCACACAGGCGCCGCCGCCGAATTACATACATACATACATACATACATACATACATACATACATACATACATACATACATACATACATACATACATACATACATACATACACGTATGTGTATGTATGTGTGTGATTTATTTACTACAACAGATTTCTTCTGAAAATGCAGAAGCAGCAGGACAACTTAAATTTACCAAAGTGTTACTACAGTTTCGTATTTTGCACATGTTAGATTTGTAAAGAAATAGAAATTTTCCATGTTTTCTTATTTGAAAAGACTGTGTATACTGGGTGTTATTTAAAAAAAATATACCAATAGACTTTATTTTATTGACTGATTGATAGGTGTAGTCTGGGTTATACTGTTAGGCCTAACTTCTCATGTGCACTTAAAAAAAAAAAAACTGCTAGCTCCACATGGTTGTTTTCTTTTCCTGTACATCCGAGGTAAATTGTATACAAAGAGTAAATAACTGCTTTACATTTTATGTATTTTGTAATTCATTCATTGAACTTTCAGAAGCTAGTATTGTCTAATCGGGCAAAATTCATTTTCCCTATTTTAATAACTATTGGTGTACTTTAATTCAGACTAATTTTTTTTTCAGCAAAAGGGAGCAGTCATTTTAGTTTGCATGTTTGCTTAGATCATGGACAGTTTCCACGAGAATAATAGGCAATCAAAATTTCAGCCACAGTACATGAATGTAACATAGAGGTATGCAACGTAAAGTTCTCTCCACTATGCATGTTGCACATGCAAGCAAAGTCGCCTTACACCTTCACTCTCTCAGAAGTTCATATTATCTGTAATGTGCCCCCCCCCATATATCTAAGGAATAATGTGACAGGAAAGACTCATAAATTAAATAATGCGGAAGAACAAATTGAATAATATGGTAAAATCCCAGAATAAGACAAATGTACAGACTTGACACAGCTTGCAAGATAAAATGCAAGGATTTGACCAAAGTACTCATGCAACTAGACTAGAGGTATTGACAGTAACTTTGTTAATAATGACATTATTGTATATATGTTGAAGGTTATAATTCAAAACAAAATTTTCAAGCATTATTCTGTTATTTGAAAGATGGATTCTACACATATACAATAAAAGAGGTTTTAAAATTCGACTTAAAAAGCGGTTAAGCTACAAACAACCCATGAAAAGATGTGAAAAGTCCCTAAATGAAGTCCTGATTTTTTTTTTGAGAACCATATCATAATATTTTTCTTGAATGCAGCCATTGTTCTGAAAAATTTTCGATTTTTAAAAACAAATTAAATAAAAAAATAACATATACAATGATATAAAAGCATGACATGAATTAATAGCGTATTAACTTATAAACTTTGGAACCATTATAACATTATTCAAACATTGCAGTTGATAAGACGTTGTGTAACTTTCAACAAATTTAATGCAAAAACGAACATTGATTATGATGTTGGAACAAGGTCTTTGCTCAAAACCATAACTCACAGGCTGCGAGAAATACCGGGAAGTTTCTGAAAACTACACTAATGTGTGCGCGGACAAATGTGTCTGCGCCGAAATGCACCATGTAATGAATTGGTTACATCAGCCTTAAATACCGTCATTCAATCTCGACACATGTTTGGGGTCTGTTTTATCAGATTGTGCTAATACAGGTGAGACAAGATAACACAAGACCTCATATCATACGCCATAAACTTTTGTTCCATAATGATATGATAATGCTTTGGCTGAATACACAACTGATGTGGAAGATATGCGACTTTGAAAATTCTAATGAAAACTTTAAATTTGTTTACTATGACGCAGGAACCACATCGCATAAAGCAGCATAGGCTTCTGACATAAAGTGATACTATAACAAAGATTCACTTAAATGCAGTCACTGATGTAGAAGATCTATGATTTTCACAAAAGTTAAAACAAAACTTCCAACATGTCGATCTCATCTCCGCCTTAAATGTGACCAATATATCATTCGATGTGTATGGGAGTGAGACTTAAACAGCTTTCTCGTAATCTTCATAACAGTTCGAGGAAATTCAAGATGCAAAAATGTAAGTAAATTTTTGCCATTCTTATTACCAGATAAAGAAGACATGTTTTTGCTTCTCACTTGCATGATATTTGTAGGGACCCCAGCTATGTTATGACCTGTATGGCGTCTACTGCTAGCCTAAATCAGAAACATTGTGTCATAAAAAGTTAGCGTAGAATATTGCAAAGCAGCTGTTGTGTGACAGTAAAGTAAGCCAGTGGCAATACTCTTTCTTCTCATTCTTGGCTTACTGGCTCTGAGACCTATACTTTTTTACCAAAAGCTTCACTAGTATCTTGTTTTCTCGAATTTAATACTTTGACTTATAAAATGGTACGCCACTGATAAATGTGAGACAACCCTTGACCTCAATATGCTTTTTATGCTATTGTTGTATACTCCAGAAAGCAATGACTAAAGTCTGAACAATTCCATTTATGACAAGTTACGAACATTACTCCTAAATAACTGTCTCAATTAGTAGACAGTAGTTTCATTCATATATCTCTCACATTTTTGTTAATGTTACGAACATCACCTCCATTCGTGTGATTGTTCGAAAGTTTCGTTTCCGATTCAGTGAACAGGTCCACATTGCTGACTCTACCATTTAAGATTTCAAATTGATGAAACTGCACAAATACAATCAGATCAACCAGAACCTAAAGCATCTATTACACGAGTGTACATGTTTGTTTACAAACTAGTTGCTAAATGCACTACACTAATTTTAGGCACACGTGGTATATACGTGCGTACATTATCGAGGTGTTCAGTATCGTAAAATACTGTCCGATTCTGAAAATGTAAAGTTAACGGAGACAAAATGAGCATATAATAATGTTCATGTTTTTCCAAACAGTTTTAAAGTGAAATCAATAAACAGTGTATGGTCCAGAAATTTTAAAATGATATTCTAGCTGGTCTTGAATTGAAATTTAGTTATGGTCCAGCTTTAAGAATTAGCTATACTCCAACTCTGAAATGTTGAAATTCAAATATTCATTGGTTGTGTGAGGTTATCATTCTTCTATACACAATGTGAGAAACACATAATTGCGAGTGGTCTAGAGTTATATAGCAAACAAATTGAAAGCAATATTTTTTGTATGATGTCCAACTTTACATGCAACTTAACATCTATTTACTTATTTGATTTCCTTCAGTTTCAGGCACAAAACGATCTTTATTTACAGTATTGGCTTCTCGGGTTTTTTGTTTTGTGCATCCATTTTTTTGTTTGTTTTTAGTGACAGAGTAAACCTACTATGCATGCAAAAGCACTCTTGTGATAAAAAAAAATAATAAAAAGAGCAGTTATTAGTTCATTTTCAGGAAAATGGGTTTGGATACTTAGAAACTCTAGTAAGAGACCTAATCAATTGAATGAGAGAGCTCTAAACTTAAACTGAAGAGGTCTCCAATTCATTTGAAGACTCTTTAATCCGTTCATAAATAAAGAGGCCTACATTTGAATTAATTTATCTTCTTCATTGAAGAGGTCTGCAACTAAGTTAGAGGGGTCTACAATTCAAGTGAACCGCTCCGGTGGCTTAGTGGTTAGAGCGTCTGTCTCTGATGCGGAAGGTCGTGGGTTCGATCCCCGTTCGAGTCATACCAAAGACTTTAAAAAATGGTACTAACAGCAGCCTCGCTTGACGCTCAGCATTAAGAGGTTAGCGTTAGAACTGGTCAGCCTGGTGTTAGGATAATGTGACTGGGTGGGAAATTATGGTACATGTCTGCGGCATGATGCCCCAGTGCAAGACATTGCTATAAACTGCCACACTGCAGACATCGTAGCGATATGACTGAAAAATTGTTAAAGCTACGTTACAAATCATAATCACATCACGTCACGTCACGTCACATCACATCACATCACATCTCAATTACACGTCAATACTAATTGAGGCTTAAGCGAAGTTGGCGGAAAGTAGCGTTATTCCAATCTCAATATGTACATGTTCCAGTTGGAAAATCTTACGGGATAATAAAATTAAATGTAACATGCAAGATACATGTCATTAAAATAAGAGACAAACAACAAGATACATTGGCTGGTCTCTTTTTTTTCTAAAACAGCATAAACAAACTAAGTACGATATAAGGACAAGCATTTTAAATATTTATTTCACGTGCATGTGACAATGGTGTTAAAACAAACTAAAGAACAGAAGAGATTACTTTGACAATAAGCTGAATAATAATAAAAGAAAGAAAAAATAATCGGTTTTAAAATATGTTGATATACATTAGTTAAGAGACATTTTTACATACAAAAGTAAATCTAATCAAATTATCTAAAGAAAAACAAGATGCCTGACGGAGGAGAAATGAAACCAGTATTTTCTTAAGCAGTCATAATGCCTTCTTCTCCGTCATTTTGTGCATTAGAACATGACGTTTTCTTTTAGTTTTAACTAGGCAAAATGCAGTTGGACGGAATAAATCCACCGTGTTTCCATAATGTGATCACTGACTTCTTTCGGCCGTACACCATTCCCAAAGAGTTGGGACGTGTCAGTTGCTCCACTCTTTCACCTAAAAAGTGATTTTGATTGCCTTAAGATGACTAAAAATTAGAGTAAATCATAACAAAAGTGTCGTTAACTTTTGCAAATACAGTCGAAAAAATGTTAAGTTAAATTTGCAAATGTTTAGCGATAAATGTTTATATATATATATATATATATATATATATATATATATATATATATATATATATATATATATATATATATATATATATATATATATATATATATATATTGCAATTAAATACATTGCAATTAAATGCAATGAAATAAAAAGGAAATAAAAAGAATTTTTAACTTACACAAGCGATTTAATCACACATACATACATACATACATACATACATACATACATACATACATACATACATGCATGCATGCATGCATGCATGCATGCATGCATACATACATACATACATACATACATACATACATACATACATACATACATACATACATACATACATACATACATACAGACAGACAGACAGACAGACAGACATACATACATACATACATACATACATACATACATACATACATACATACATACATACATACATACATACATACAGACAGACAGACAGACAGACAGACATACATACATACATACATACATACAGACAGACAGACAGACAGACAGACAGACATACATACATACATACATACATACATACATACATACATACATACATACATACATACATACATACATACAGACAGACAGACAGACAGACAGACAGACAGACAGATTTTGATTGCCTTAAGATGACTGACTCGAAAAGGAACCTTATCATAACTTTAAACGAGCTTCATCAAAAAACTAAGATATTGAAAAACAAATTTAAAAGAATACAGAATAGAAAATATAACAGGTAAATATTAATATCTTCACCTGGTTTGATATCCATTTCCAGGCATTGTTTCTTTTCATACCCAGCAATAGCCACGGCCGTAACACATCGTTTAAGTCTTCTCTCACCTAAAACACGACGTATTTGATTTAATACGGAGTTCTGTTCATATTTTCTTTTTTAAATTACTAAATAGAGAAGTAACAAATATGAAAATCTACGTATCTACCTAATTATAACAATGCGAACTTAAAACTATGTATGCATGTTTGTTTATATTTCTTTGGTTCATGGATCCAAAGTCTGTGCCAGCCTAAGGGAAGGAATTCTCAAAGACGATGAATAATTAGATATAAAGCGTGCTTTGAATACCGCTGTATATGCTCACCTGCGTAGAGCTTTAATGTTAAATCACTATCTTCTTTAGAAATTCGTTGACACCATCATAAAGTTCGTAGCTCTTTGTATTGATATTTACTTTGAAATTAGTCTGCTTCATAAATAGGATGCTAGTCTGAACTTTGCCATTAATGCTTGGTAAATGTTTTTTGTTTTTTTTATATTGACCTGGAGATCGGAATTGAAAATGCTAAATAATATCATGACATCAAGTTTATATACTTATTGTATTAATAAACAAGTGTAACAAGCACTCAGAATATGCTGATTCGTAACAACAATCAACCCATTCCCCGATATGTTCAAATTAAACAACACACACACACACACAGACACACACATGCACATCCAAATAAAAGAAAAATATATCTTAGAACTTAGTATTATTATCAATGCATGCTAAGGATGTTATTTATCTTCTGTTGAACAAAAACAATTTGAACAATTTTTTTTTAAAAAAAAGTTATGATAATATTTGTTAGATCATATTTACTGGTATATACAGTTGTAGTAATAGCTATCAAATCATATTTAGAAGTATATAATTTAAAATAACTGTAACTACAATAAAGAGAAACCAATCACTGTTTTGCAGAGTCAGAAAGCGGCAGACTCCTCTCCCTCTTTCATACCAATTTTGAATTTTAAATAAGTTCTACAAAAATCAAACTGGAGTTAAATATTTAAGTAAAGACTTGCCCCAAAAATTCTAAATGTTTGTAAAATCAGAATTTCAGTAGTAGTCCCACTGGACTAATAACAGTTTACATTCTTAACCAGTTGTGAAAACTACTAGTAACTGGGGAACGAACTAACGCTATTTCAAATCCTGAAAATGTAGACATCAACCCCTTTTCAGAATCCTCTATTTGAATCTAAGCATTATCCCACACATGTATAATTTGAACTGAAAAAATTATTCTATAGTTTGAGTGTTATATTATATTCACGGATCAAATCAGTTTTACTGATACACAAATAAGGTATCTCTTCCTTGAAACATTAATGTCACTGACATGCCCTTCAGCAAAAATGAGTATACATGTGTCTTTATATAATTTGCTCCTTTCGTCACTGAGGAACCGAAGTTTTGGTTTTCTCTATTAAATAGACATGAAATAAATTGGAAATTGATTTCTGATACATTTTTTTTTTAAATCTCCAGTCTATTCAACGTTTTAAGAAAGCTACAACATGTGAAATGCTGGAAGTCAACATTACTCTTAATTACTTTTATATATGAACAGCACCCCTTTTCCTGCAAATTAAATTGTTGGTACACGATACTATCTTGTCTTTTTGTAACTCTAAATTATCTAGGTTATAATCATATACATTTGATGCTCCGACATTTTTGATTATATGTAAATCTCACAACTGTGTACACCTCGTTTTGAAGTTCGAGATTTTGCGAGAAAATGTGATAATGGTTATGGTCAAGTGTTGCGACACTAAATAGAACAGCATGGATTCAACCTACCACAGCTGTCGACTGGTTTCAAAGGCTTTTTCTCTTCTTTCGTTTGTTCTTCGTGTTCATCTCCTGGAATAAATTGTAGATAGCTTTCATTACTAGCTATATTGCAAACTGTTCTTCATACATTATTTTATTTACTCTTTATGGATCGAATATGCATCCTTAATATTTTTTTCACCAAGATAGAATAATAAATTTTAATTCATGATTTTTTTAAAATTCTGCTCTTGATAAAAAATTTTTTTAAAACAACAAGAATAAAAAGTAAAACAATTACAGCGTTTATTGATACTTACAATTCATACAACGGTTAATTTTTGTTTCATAGCCTTTAAAGTTGTTGTTGTTATTGTTGTTGTTATTGTTAATGCTATTTTCAGCACATGATAGACTATACATGGCGGATAGTATTAATGGTGGAGAAAGAAACCGCGGAAAGAACCGCCGACCCACGAGAAGCTACTGGCAATCTTTCTCACATAACCGAATTCGCCGAATCTTAGACTCGAACCCACGCAGACAGAGGTGAGATGGCAGTGATCCGTAACAACAATATAAAGTCATATATTAATGGAATATGTGCGAGTATGGATTATGGATTTTATCGTGATGATTGGATGGGATATCGGGGTTGTTTTCAATCTTGTATGCTCCATGTTCATCTTCTAAAAATATCTTGGCAGCAAACTGTAGCAAATATACATCGTGAAAACAACAATAATTAACACAAAAACAAAGCAAAATTTCGAGTTCTAGAAGGGTTAATACTTTCCCTAGGTTTTAGAGTATATACGATTCGCACATTTTTATCAACATCTCGTATTTACAGTTTAAAACATTAAACTTACCACTGGAGCATAAAGGATGATATATTCCATCAGAAATATGGCATGAGGTAATGGGAATAGTTTCCTCCACCGCCTTCTTTCCTTCTCCATGTTCATCTGCTGAAATATAATTTAGCAGCTGACTGCAGTTAATCATCATTTAGTTCAATACATCCAATTGATTAATATCAATACATAGAACTTACCTTTGGAGCAAAATGGATTATATAGTTTATCGTAACTATCAACATAGACGGATTGATATCCTTTGCCTCCTTTTGCTGCCTTGGTCACTGGCAGAAACATGTATTGTCAGTTAACTGTGAGTAGATGTATATTGTGGAAACTTATCATAAGTTATGAATAATTTATTCGTTGTATTATACGTTGTAGGACACGCACACATTCATAGACACACATTAAATTAAGATCGTATTAGGTTGGAGAAAGTTCTAAAACTTTTGTTGGAAAATTCACCCAATTACTGGTTTCAAACAACACCTTAGTTAACAGTTCAAACC